ATCCTTCTCATCCACCTCCACCGCCCACGACCTACCCTTCTCATCCACATCCATCACACACCTACGTTTCTCACCCACCTAAATTATCCATGAACTATCCTTCTCACCCACCACCGACTTATGCTCCCCACCCACCCGTAAGCTTTGCAACCCACCCACCTCCATCAACCGTAACTTATGCCACCCACTCACCCCCATCAACCGTAACTTATGCCACTCATCCACCCCCACCAACCGTAACTTATGCTACTCATCCACCCCCACCACACGTAACCTATGGCCCACTCTCACCACCCCTTACATACGCTCCCCACCCACCATCCGTAACCACTACCTCTCATCCACCCCCGCCACCCATTACCATCGCCTCCCTCTTACCTCGTCCAATCATCACCTTCCACTCCCATCCACTTCATTCTACATCCTATTATACTACTTCCACTGCTAAGCCTCCACCATCCTCTACTCCCGCACCACAATCGCGTCCTCAATACTATCCCCATCCATCAACTTATCCTCCTGTCTCAAACTATCCCCATCCATCAACCTCCGCCCCGCCACATTCTGCCTCTCCCTCCTACGATAATCCAAAATACCCTGGGGTAAGTACCATTATTCTTGTTTGTTTCCTGTTCTATTGTGTTTGTCCTTGATTTTCATTATTTGTTTTTTATTTTTATTATTTGTTCTTGATTTTTATTACCTGTCTTTGATTTTTATGATAACATTTATTTTTATGATATTCTTGATTTTTATCATTTTTCCTTGATTTTTTATTATTAGTCCTTCATTTTTATAATTATTTTGACCTTATATTTCCTATCTATAAGTTCTTGCACAAATGGACTCTAGAAAGGAAATATAATTATTCCCCCTGAAATGTCCAGTAATTATAATGTATATAATTGTGATGTTTCCTCTCTTTCAGAAGCCTCCTCTGTACGCCTTCAGTTACGGCGTCGCCGATGACTACTCAGGCGCCTACTACAGTCACTCTGAGTCCCGCGACGGAGACAAGACCGAGGGCAGCTACACGGTGGACCTCCCTGACGGCCGCAAGAAAACTGTGACTTACGTAGACACAGGCAAGGGACTAATGGCAGATGTAACTATTGAAGGTATCATAAAACATGAGCCTGGTTATATACACACCTAGACCCATGCATCAGCTCACACCTGGTCAAAGATTTTAGCTACGATTTTAATCCTAGCTATATCCATGTTTTTAATTATACTTGAAGATCTCTGTGATCTCTGAGATCATAGTCCCTGTGATCTAAGAGATCATAATCCCTGTAATCTAAGAGATGATAGTCCGTGTGATCTCAGAGATCATAATCCCTGTAATCTAAGAGATCATAGTCCGTGTGATCTCAGAGATCAAAGTCTCTGTGATCTAAGAGATCATAGTCCGTGTGATCTCAGAAATCATAGTCCCTGTGATCTAAGAGATCATAGTCCGTGTTATCTCAGAGATCATAGTCCATGTTATCTCAGAGATCATAGTCCCTGTGATCTAAGAGATCATAGCCCCTGTGATCTAAGAGATCATAGTCTGTGTGATCTCAGAGATCATAATCCCTGTGATCTAAGAGATCATAATCCCTCTGACCTAAGAGATCATAATCCCTGTGATCTCAGAGCCCCCATTTCTAACATTAATAAAATGTTTTAATTGGGCGTTTCATTCCTGTTGGCTTAATTTTTTAAGGTTTATAATATACTAACTTTAAAATAATTTATTACGTCTGTTAGCACTAGTTAATCAAGCACATAAACCATGTTTTGTTATATTTAAGATGTTATAACGTTCTACATTCGAGAAAAAAGGAGAGAAAAACCATTGTATCCACACAAGGCATGAAATGAAAACAATATTTATAAAACAATGTATATATGTACATATATATAATAAATACGTGTTGTTACTAAGTGCTGTAGTGTTAGTGAGCCTTGTAAACATCTGCGACCCACCGTACAACTCTTTAATGTTCGGGAGGAAACGAACGCTCTTAAAAGATTGGTCACGCTCCCCGCTCTGCCGGATGTAAGACACCCATTTTATTAATTTATTATTGGTTTGTTATACGTAAATATAAGTTAATATATGCTAACATAACCTGATCGAGAATGACAAATACAATTTTAAAAGAATGTTAGATAAGGCAGAAATGCTTTGTCCACTCCACCGCTGTCACCGTATGTAAGGGTGAGAGTAAGTTGTCTCCTTTTTACTCTAAGTAAACCAACTATTTAGCCACTTATACAAGCACTTGATAGACCTCTTTCACAAGCCCCAGTTGTATATACCAAGTATACATTAAGAAGTTTAATCTAGATTTGCAAGGTAATCTTAAAAATAGGGACAATATTCAATAATTACACTTAATCTTACATTCTGGCTGAAAGAATACATGAGATTTCGAGAATTATGTGAGAAGTTTGTACATAGATCATCACCAGTACTTGGTCGTTCACCCAGAAATACAGTAAATACAGCATTGTCTCCTGGTTATAAGTCCTAAACCTCAGCGTAATACAGCTCATAACTCTCACCTCCAGCAAGTCTCACTGTCAATTCACCACAGCAGAAGCCAGTTCAGCCTTCATAAACAGAAACCGTAGAGGCCACCAAGCTGAACCCTTCTCTGCTTAAGTTTACATATTGGACTTTGCTACATTCTTCAGTATCCTGTTTATTTAATCTGGATGTTCTCATGTGACTATGAACACATGGTGTACCTAAAGGCTGGAATCTCGGAACAGAGACAAGACAAGCATTACCAACTCAGATATATTGCAATTCACTTGTGTATTTCATAAACATATGACACCAAAATAGGCAGTCCAATTCATTCCAGTGAGGACACTAAAGAACTCCAGGATGATTTGAATAGACTGATGCAATGGTCGGAGAAGTGGCAGATGCAGTTTAATATAGACAAATGCAAAGTTCTAAATGTTGAACAGGAAAATAAACATGCCACATATAAACTAAATAATGTAGAGCTTAATACTACTGGTTGCTAAAAGGATTTAGGAGTTCTGGTTAGCAGTAATCTAAAACCAAGACAACAGTGCATTAGTGTTCGCAATAAAGCTAACAGAATCCTTGGCTTCATATCCGGAAGTATAAATAATAGAAGTCTTCAGGTTATTCTTCAACTCTATATATCCTTGGTTAGGCCTCATTTAGATTATGCTGCACAGTTCTGGTCACCGTATTACAAAGTGGATATAAATGCTCTGGAAAACGTACAGAGGAGGATTACAAAGTTGATTCCATGTATCAGAAATCTTCCCTATGAGGATAGGCTGAGGGCCCTGAATCTGCACTCTCTCGAAAGGCGTAGAATTAAGGATGATATGATCGAGGTGTATAAATGGAAAACAGGAATAAATAAAGGGAATGTAAATAGCGTGCTGAAAATTTCCGGCCAAGACGGAACTCACAGCAATGGTTTCAAGTTGGAAAAATTCAGATTCAGGAAGGATATAGGAAAGCACTGGTTTGGTAATCGAGTTGTGGATGAGTGGAACAAACTCTCGAGTACAGTTATAGACGCTAATACGTTGTGTAGTTATCAAAATAGGTTAGATAAATACATGAGTGGGTGTGGGTGGGTGTGAGTTGGATCTGACTAGCTTGTGCTACTAGGTCTGATGCCGTGTTCCTTCCTTAAGTGGAAGTGACCTGACTAGGTGGGTCATTGGGCTAATCCGGGGGGGCAGGGACATGGACCTGCTTCGCACGGGTCAGTAGGCCTGCTGCAGTGTTCCTTCTTTCTTATGTTCTTATGTTCAAAATATTACAGCAATCTGGAACAAACTGCACACTCTAATTGGTGATCAGCTTGACTGCAGAGGTTGACTGTTGTCTTCGTTCAGCAGGACATGACAAGTTATTCGGGTTCCATTTTGTTATCTCATTTTTTCTCTGTCATTATTATAAAAATAAGGGATTTGTAATCTTTAGTGTCGGGAATAAAATTCCAAGTACGTATATTGACTCACTGCTATATTAATCCTTTGTAAGGATAATATAATCTAAAGTGTTTATTTAAAATACCTATATCAGAGAATATAAATGGTTAACAAACCGTGACAGAAACCATTAGCTATCACTGTCTTGTTGTTCCCCTCCTCATCTATCCTTATTTCCGGCATCAGTGAGCGGGTCATCTTATGACTAAGGTCGTTGCCTATGGCCGAAATATTTACATCGGTCTTTACGTGTGGTTCAGTTTCGTTCAAGTGGTCTCTCATCTTTCACAGGAAAATTCGTTTCGCCTCTGAAGACAAAACAGTGACTCTTTAGGAGGCTGTTGTTTTCTTTTAGCAAATTTAAACGGCAGGACTTTCATTCACAATTTTTTCTTACTGACTTGTAGTTTAGTCATGTGTGTACCCTTGCTGATGTAGCTGCTGATTCTCTTAATCAGTTTGATCACATTTAGGTGCACGTTGAACTTTTTATGCAACACAAAATGATGAAACAACAAAATGAACAAATTAGTTATCAGATGTGAAACTCAGCGAAGACAATACACGTATAAAGCATATTAACGTTATTAAATTCACGAAGAAGCGCTAAATCCGTAAATACCAAGAAGCACTTGGGGAATATGGCTCGGAACAATAATCAGATTTTATCCAATAAAGGGAAGGCAACTCTAAATTCCTTTAGTAAAGAGATTTTCACTCTCATCATGTCACTTCCCATTATAGAGTATATGGTATAGTTAAACCAAAAGATAGCCATAAGAATAAAAATTATATTTCCTTTGGCAAACGAGGATGAATTGTTTCTTCTGATATGATGGCGGTGATCTTCGTTTTATCACGTAAACACGAAAGTTCTCACAGTTTATGAAGGTCTCATTCATGGTATAAAATATACATATGCATATATGTAAATATACTGTTTATTAAGCAAACAATGTTAGCCTCATACCTACATACGCATAAAACATGTCGAAGAATAACAAGTCAATTGATATTTACTTAAAGTGTGGTGGGGGTGGGTAGGATGTTGGGTGGGTTGGGTAGATAGACTCATCTTCAGGCTTGTACTCAGGCTCATAGTGTGGCTTGTACTCAGGTTCATACTGTGGCTTGTACTCAGGCTCATACTGTGGCTTGTACTCAGGCTCATACTGTGGCTTGTACTCAGGCTCATACTGTGGCTTGTACTCAGGCTCATACTGTGGCTTGTACTCTGGTTTATACACAGGCTTGTACTCTGGGTACTTCGCTTCACCATCATAGTTCACCACAGCTTCCAGACCGCCGCCGTTGTCTGCGTAGTTGACAGTTTGCTTGCGGCCGTCGGGAAGGTCCACGTTGTAGGTACCTTCGGTCTTGTAACCGTCGCGGGTCTCTGAGTGACCGAAGTTGGCGCCTGAGTAGTGATCAACCACGGCATAGTTGAAGGCGTATTTGGGAGGAACCTAGAGAGACATAGTATATACTTTATATAACTACAGATTGTAAAGCTATTCATGAAAAAAATATTGCTAACATTAACAAATATTTATATACAAATATACAGTTGTAGCTGCGGGTTATATACGAACTATGAACACACTTCCTTACCTCAGGGTAATGAGGTTGGTGGTGGGGTGTATGATAGACAGGTGGAGCATGGTGTACAGGTGGCTCACCAGCTACCACCATCAAAACGCAAGCGATAACGGAAACCTGACAACGTGTATATGATTTTCAGAATAATTATCGATCTGCGAATAATATTCTCAGATATTCCAATAACTCTTTCTTCAATAATTCTACCATACACTTAGCAAATACTCAGACTTGAAACCCTATAATTCTGATTGCCTGGTTCTCTTTATATCATGTACAGAGAACCCGTAAATATTTCCATCTCTCACATATACAGTAAAATGCATAAATATTATGTTTACAGCTATTCTCAATCTCTCAAAAATAAATTCATTCACCTTCAACATTATTCTTTTTACTCTAAGGCTGCATTCCAGCTGTTACCTCTTCCAAACAACTCCTATTTCTTCCTGATAAAAGAATGAAATCCGCTTTCATTTCGTAATGTAATTTTAACAACTAATTAATATAATGTATCCATTTTAACTAACAGCCTTAACCTCATTATCCACCATCTCGAAACTTGAACTCGTAATTGGCTAAGACTATTTCTCTGAAAGGGTCTGAATAAGTGAGTAAAGGGAAAAAAATCAAGATTGTACCACGAGTGCTTTTAGGTAACAATTAACAATGAGGACTAGACAGACATTTCCTACCTTGATGTTCATGCTGGACTTGTGATGGAGAGAGAAGCTTTACTTCTGTTTATATAGCGCTCGACCGGACAACTTTCCCTAAATATTCCTGGATATTTTAGGAGCAGACATAAGAGCGTGCCTGTCGCCAAATGCTCCTCAGGAGTATATTTTACAAAGGTAGTGTATATAAGACGACTATCATCATATAAATACTGATTATTAAAAACATGTAAAAAACGACTGATTGCCCAAAGTAAATGTTTGTACCAATATATATATATATATATATATATATATATAATATATATATATATATATATATATATATATATATATATATATATATATATATATATATATATATATATATATATGTCGTGCCTAATAGGTAAAACTGGTCAATTAGCAAGAACTCATTTAAAATTAAGTCCTTTATAAAAATTTCTCTTATACGTTTAAAGATATATTTTTTTCATTAATGTTAATGTAAAAAAAATTAATTTTGCACCAAAAGAGTCTTAGAAAATTTACCTAACCTTATTGTAACAAGCGCAATTTATTTTAGCCTAATCCTACTAAATATATTTTAAATACTTATACAGCAATGCAATATTAAACAAACACAATAAAATATATTTTTTTCCTTCTCCGGTATTGAGAAACAAAAAATACTCTTTTAATCAGGCCATTCCATCAGAATGGAAGCACAGTATGTTGGATCATTGCTATAATAAACTCGGAAGAATTTGTAATGAACTCAAGAGCAAACTACAAAGAAAATTAGACATTTTAATTGAAAATAGTGATTGGACAAAGCATGCTAATAACAATTTTGTAATTAACTTATCAGATGAAATTTTAGACAAACATACAACTGCTGCTCTAGGTTTTGGCCTAAGTTTTGCAGCTTCCAAAAAACTTAATAATGTTGAAATTGCAAAAGCCTTTTGTAACTTTGAAAAATTTTCTGATTTATCCTCTGATGAAATTAATATTAGTAAAGGAATGGTATATAGCTCTATGTTAAAACCAAACATTCCCAATTGCCCTCAAAGATTCTGTAAGTCTTATGATACACTTAATAACAATAAAAATTTGCGCCTTACTAAAGCAGACAAAATAAATGCAATAGTAATTATGAAAGAAAATGATTACCAAGAAAAAATGAATAATCTCTTAGATGATACTGAAACCTATTCTAAAACTTAGAAAAAATCCCTAGAAACCGTTAACAGCAATTTCAATAAAACAATAAAACTTCTACTGAAAGGCAAAGATGAATTAGTCAAACAATTTACTTCCACTAATCCATCTTTACCTTACATGTATGGACTAATAAAAACACACAAACCAGGGAATCCAGTCAGACCAATTATTAGCTCCATAGGGTCAGTTTCATATAAATTATCAAAATGGCTTGTTGATATTTTGAGCCCTATTGTTGGCAAAATTTCTAACTTTAATGTTAAAAACAACATAGCTTGGTTGATAAATTAAGCTCCTTGACTGACTTAAATGATTTTAACATGGTTAGTTTTGATGTTACTTCCTTGTTTACGAAAGTTCCTGTTGATGATTTATTAAGTTTCTTATCTGAAGAACTCGTTAACTATGATTTACCATTGTCAGTTCCTACTATCATTAAACTTATTAAACTTTGCATTGTTGATGCAAAATTTGTATTTAATGATAAATTTTACACTCGAAGTTTGGTATGGCAATGGGAAATCCTCTTTCACCTGTTCTTAGTAACCTATACATGGAATTTTTTGAAAACAAGGTTGCTTAACACAATCCTCCCTAATAGAGCTAAATGGTTCAGATATGTTGATGATATTTTGTGTCTTATGCCAAAAAATGTAGATATACACCCATTTCCTTGGAAAATTAAATAGCTTAGCCCATTCTATAAACTTTACTGTTGAGTTTGAAGAAAATAACTCATTGCCTTTTCTGGATGTTTTAATTATTAAGGTAATAATGAATTCAAATTTAAAATTTACAGAAAACCTACAAATAACTGTTCCTATGTCCAATATTATTCCTCGCATCAAGATAGAGTCAAACTGTCTGTTTTCTCATCAATGTTTTTGAGAGCTTTACGAATTTGTAGTCCTGAGTTCATAGATGAGGAAATATCCAAAATTTATGAAATAGGTAATGATTTAAAATACCCAAGAAATGTAATTGATAAATCTTTTAAAGTTGCTAGAAATACTTTTTACAATCCAAAAAGGGACAACCAGCCTTATTCAACTAAAAATATGTTGGTTCTCCCTTACCATGAAAACTTGGTTGATATGCCTTTTAATATTAAAGTTGTATTCAAAAATCTTGATACAGTAAAAAAACTTTTGATAAAGAATTCCCCCCAAAATGCTGATGGATGTGTCTATAAGATTCCTTGTAAAATTTGCGATAAAGTTTTTTACGGTCAAACTGGTAAAAATCTCAAACTAAGATTAAAACAACATAAATATAGCATTAGAACTGGACAAGATTCCAATGCTCTATTTATTCATGTAAGAGATTTTAACCATCCAATTGATTTTCAAAAAGTTGAGAAAGTAGTATCAAGCAAGTCCATGGTCGACAGGAATATAATTGAATCTTGTTTCATAAAAAGCAGTTTTGACAATAATATGAATATTTCCTTTGGTTTATATAAATTAGATCCATTTATAATTAATAGAATTTGGGGAAGAATTTAATAATACACTGGACAAATAATAATTTTTAAATTTTCTTGGGTAGAATAGTTTGTGAGTGAGTTGTGCAAAGGACCTATCCAAGTTGGGTCGGCGCGTGTCAGGTGTTTAACCGTTGTGGGATCTGATAGTGAGGTGCTGGCCAGACCCTTATATAGCTTCCTTGGATGCTTTACTTTCATAGTTCCTTGATAATGTGAGTAGTCACGAAAGCGCTTGGAATTTCTCTTATTCTTCAGAGTGGTTGTTTTGCATATTCTGAAATCACCTGTTACTGTGATCTTATTGCATTATATTATATATATATATATATATATATATATATATATATATTATATTATATATATATATATATATATATATATATATATATATAATATATATATATATATATATATATATATGCAGGACAAGCCATAGGGGGTGGAAATCTTTAGATCAAGTACTTTCACACTTCTCAGTGCGTCATCAGGAGCTGTTCAATGTTGTAAGGGAACAACCAAAGCAGGGAGAGAGGTCTCAGAGAAGCGTAGGTGTCACCGGCCACAGTTACCCTTTTGTGCTTATCACGGCCACGTATGTCCTCGCACCATGAAACGCACCCAGTCCCACTGGGTATATGATTTGTAGTTCAGTGGTAAGAGCGTCGTTAACTTTGACTGGCTTCCCAGACCTACAAGCACTTTAATTCAGCTTTACCTAAATGTGTTGCTCTTAAAAATCTCTCATTTAACTCCAACCTATTTTTTATTTACTCGGCTTAAAACTAATAAAGTCTAACTCCATTAATAGTTCTACCAATGACTGACTAAAAAAATATACATTAATATGTCATAATGCATATAATGAGATACAGTCAGGGCCATACAGTACAGCGCTGTATGATGCTGGTGGCTTAGCGCTTAGTTTTGATAATAATAATAATAATAATAATAATAATAATAATAATAATAATAATAATAATAATAATAATAATAATAATAATAATTAAAGATTAGCTTGCCATGGATTCGATCCTCATTCCATGATGTTCTCATGATGTTGGTGATCTTCATTTCCCCATAAACACAAAATGCAAACAATTTACGAAGGTTTCACATTTAGAAAAAAAAAATGTTTGTGAAGGTACTGTTTATTAAGTCCACAGAGGTAGCCTCACACCTACATAAACATCACACATAACACATAACATAGGATTTGATGTTTACTCAAAGTATGAAGAGGGTGGGTAAGGTTTTTGGCTGGTTAGGTGGCCTTGCACTAAGGCACGTACACTGGCTTGTGCTCAGGCCTGTACTGTGGCTTGTATGCAGGCTTGTACTCTGGGTGATGGGCTTCTCCCTCGTAGTTCACCACAGCTTCCAGACCATGACCGTTGTCTGCGTAGTTGACGGTTTGCTTGCGGCCGTCGGGAAGGTCCACGTTGTAGGTACCTTCGGTCTTGTAGCCGTCGCGGGTTTCTGAATGACCGAAGTTGGCGCCTGAGTAGTGATCCACCACGCCATAGTTGAAAGCATATTTGGGAGGAACCTAGAGAGACATACTTCGTACAATAAATAATTGCAGATTTTAAAGTTCTTGTGAAGATAATATTAAGACATAATAATTACTTACTGCAACTATGTTAATAAATGTATTACAAAAACTATTCATAAAACAAATATTATTAGCATTAGCAGACATATATATACAGTAATAGAAACTGTATGTTGTTTATAAACCATGATCAGACTTCCTCACCTCAGGGTAATGAGGCTGGTGGTGGGGTGCATGATAGGCAGGTGGAGCATGGTGCACAGGTGGCTCACCAGCTACCATCATCAAAACGCAAGCGATAACGTAAACCTGAAACCATTCAGATGCTTTTCAATGACAAAAATACCACAGTGAAAACAGGAAAAAAAAAAACTTAGTGCTTTCATGTGCTTACACACATATCTTCAGAGGATACATATTTTTTCAGTGCAATTGTCCTTCCTCTGCAATATTAAATAATAAATAAAATTGCCAAACACTTAACTAATACCCAAAAGGTTTACCTCCCAGTAATTCTTACCTTCTGGTCCTCTTTTGAAATCCTTTTTCAGTGGAACTAATAAACATTGTCTGCCAAGCCTTCTCTTTCCTCACACATACGTTACAATTGTATAAATATTTTATCTCCAACTGTTTCTAGCATATCAAAATTAATCTCATCTATGTCTTCTATTTTCATCCATTATTAACCTGCTTACTGCTTCAACCTCTTGCTCCAACATCAAATCCTGTTGCTACCTCTTTTAAACAACTACAGTTCCTTCATATCATAAGAATGAAAACTACTCTCATTTCATCATTAAAGTTTAAGAACTTCTCAATAAAATCCCTCAATTTACTTATAAATTCTACCTTATTATCCAGCATCTAAAAACTTTAACTCATAATTGACAAGTCCTTTACTTCAGTAGTTCTGAACATGGCAGTATTGGCAGACTGAATAATCAGTCCTCAGAGTCTGAACACGACTGTACTTGGCTGCAGCACTGTACTTGGATGCAACACAGCAGACTGAAGACAAGACAAACATTTCCGTACCTTGAGGGCCATGCTGAAGATCTAATAGTGAGAAGAGTTCTGCCACTGTTTATATAGCGCTTCACCGAGTCACTTTCCCCAAAATTTTCAAGATATTTAGGGGCAGTAATAACAACGTAAATGTGGAAAAATGCTCTTACGAGGCAGATGTTACACTGTCATTTTAAAATTACTGATTATTAAAATACATATCTGGAAGAATGTTATAGATTTGTTATGTTAGACAGAAAAACAAATATTTTTTAATAAAATTTCTAATAATTGTTAGCCTGTTTTTATCAAACTGTTTTTATTTTTTGGTTTTCTAATAACTTCGTCTTCTCTATAGCTATCTGTACTTCGTTATTAAAATATGATCTGTAAGTGGCCAGAACCAACAAGAGGCAAATATTAAGTTATATTTTTTTTTATTATCACACTGGCCGATTCCCACCAAGGCAGGGTGGCCCGAAAAAGAAAAACTTTCACCATCATTCACTCCATCACTGTCTTGCCAGAAAGGTGCTTTACACTACAGTTTTTAAACTGCAACATTAACACCCCTCCTTCAGAGTGCAGGCACTGTACTTCCCATCTCCAGGACTCAAGTCCGGCCTGCCGGTTTCCCAGAATCCCTTCATAAATGTTACTTTGCTCACACTCCAACAGCACGTCAAGTATTAAAAACCATTTGTCTCCATTCACTCCTATCAAACACGCTCATGCATGCCTGCTGGAAGTCCAAGCCCCTCGCACACAAAACCTCCTTTACCCCCCCTCCAACCTTTCCTAGGCCGACCCCTACCCCGCCTTCCTTCCACTACAGACTGATACACTCTTGAAGTCATTCTGTTTCGCTCCATTCTTTCTACATGTCCGAACCACCTCAACAACCCTTCCTCAGCCCTCTGGACAACAGTTTTGGTAATCCCGCACCTCCTCCTAACTTCCAAACTACGAATTCTCTGCATTATATTCACACCACACATTGCCCTCAGACATGACATCTCCACTGCCTCCAGCCTTCTCCTCGCTGCAACATTCATCACCCACGCTTCACACCCATATAAGAGCGTTGGTAAAACTATACTCTCATACATTCCCCTCTTTGCCTCCAAGGACAAAGTTCTTTGTCTCCACAGACTCCTAAGTGCACCACTCACTCTTTTTCCCTCATCAATTCTATGATTCACCTCATCTTTCATAGACCCATCCGCTGACACGCCCACTCCCAAATATCTGAATACGTTCACCTCCTCCATACTCTCTCCCTCCAATCTGATTTTCAATCTTTCATCACCTAATCTTTTTGTTATCCTCATAACCTTACTCTTTCCTGTATTCACCTTTAATTTTCTTCTTTTGCACACCTACCAAATTCATCCACCAATCTCTGCAACTTCTCTTCAGAATCTCCCAAGAGCACAGTGTCATCAGCAAAGAGCAGCTGTGACAACTCCCACTTTGTGTGTGAATCTTTATCTTTTAACTCCACGCCTCTTGCCAAGACCCTCGCATTTACTTCCCTTACAACCCCATCTATAAATATATTAAACAACCACGGTGACATCACACATCCTTGCCTACTTTTACTGGGAAAAAATTTCCCTCTTTCCTACATACTCTAACTTGAGCCTCACTATCCTCGTAAAAACTCTTCACTGCTTTCAGTAACCTACCTCCTACACCATACACTTGCAACATCTGCCACATTGCCCCCTATCCACCCTGTCATACGCCTTTTCCAAATCCATAAATGCCACAAAGACCTCTTTAGCCTTATCTAAATACTGTTCACTTATATGTTTCACTGTAAACACCTGGTCCACACACCCCCTACCTTTCCTAAAGCCTCCTTGTTCATCTGCTATCCTATTCTCCGTCTTACTCTTAATTCTTTCAATTATAACTCTACCATACACTTTACCAGGTACACTCAACAGACTTATCCCCCTATAATTTTTGCACTCTCTTTTATCCCCTTTGCCTTTATACAAAGGAACTATGCATGCTCTCTGCCAATCCCTAGGTACCTTACCCTCTTCCATACATTTATTAAATAATTGCACCAACCACTCCAAAACTATATCCCCACCTGCTTTTAACATTTCTATCTTTATCCCATCAATCCCCGGCTGCCTTACCCCCTTTCATTTTACCTACTGCCTCACGAACTTCCCCCACACTCACAACTGGCTCTTCCTCACTCCTACAAGATGTTATTCCTCCTTGCCCTATACACGAAATCACAGCTTCCCTATCTTCATCAACATTTAACAATTCCTCAAAATATTCCCTCCATCTTCCCAATACCTCTAACTCTCCATTTAATAACTCTCCTCTCCTATTTTAACTGACAAATCCATTTGTTCTCTAGGCTTTCTTAACTTGTTAATCTCACTCCAAAACTTTTTCTTATTTTCAACAAAATTTGTTGATAACATCTCACCCACTCTCTCATTTGCTCTCTTTTTACAGTGCTTCACCACTCTCTTAACCTCTCTCTTTTTCTCCATATACTCTTCCCTCCTTGCATCACTTCTACTTTGTAAAAACTTCTCATATGCTAACTTTTTCTCCCTTACTACTCTCTTTACATCATTATTCCACCAATCGCTCCTCTTCCCTCCTGCACCCACTTTCCTGTAACCACAAACTTCTGCTGAACACTCTAACACTACATTTTTAAACCTACCCCATACCTCTTCGACCCCATTGCCTATGCTCTCATTAGCCCAATAGCTGTTTATATCTTACCCTAACTGCCTCCTCTTTAGTTTATAAACCTTCACCTCTCTCTTCCCTGATGCTTCTATTCTCCTTGTATCCCATCTACCTTTTACTCTCAGTGTAGCTACAACTAGAAAGTGATCTGATATATCTGTGGCCCCTCTATAAACATGTACATCCTGAAGTCTACTCAACAGTCTTTTATCTACCAATACATGATCCAACAAACTACTGTCATTTCGCCCTACATCATATCTTGTATACTTATTTATCCTCTTTTTCTTAAAATATGTATTACCTATAACTAAACCCCTTTCTATACAAAGTTCAATCAAAGGGCTCCCATTATCATTTACACCTGGCACCCCAAACTTACCTACCACACCCTCTCTAAAAGTTTCTCCTACTTTAGCATTCAGGTCCCCTACCACAATTACTCTCTCGCTTGGTTCAAAGGCTCCTATACATTCACTTAACATCTTCCAAAATCTCTCTCTCTCCTCTGCATTCCTCTCTTCTCCAGGTGCATACACGCTTATTATGACCCACTTCTCGCATCCAACCTTTACTTTAATCCACATAATTCTTGAATTTACACATTCATATTCTCTTTTCTCCTTCCATAACTGATCATTTAACATTACTGCTACCCCTTCCTTTGCTCTAACTCTCTCAGATACTCCAAATTTAATCCCATTTATTTCCCCCCACTGAAACTCTCCTACCCCCTTCAGCTTTGTTTCGCTTAGGGCCAGGACATCCAACTTCTTTTCATTCATAACATCAGCAATCATCTGTTTCTTGTCATCCGCACTACATCCACGCACATTTAAGCATCCCAGTTTTATAAAGTTTTTCTTCTTCTCTTTTTTAGTAAATGTCTACAGGAGAAGGGGTTACTAGCCCATTGCTCCCGGCATTTTAGTCGCCTCATACGACACGCATGGCTTACGGAGGAAAGATTATTTTCCACTTCCCCATGGACAATAGAAGAAATAAAGAACAAGAGCTATTTAGAAAAAGGAGAAAAACCCAGATGTATGTATATATATATGCATGTGCGTGCCTGTGAAGCGTGACCAAAGTGTAAGCAGGAGTAGCAAGATATCCCTGTTATCTAGCGTGTTTATGAGACAGAAAAAGAAACCAGCAATCCTACCATCATGCAAAACAGTTACAGGTTTTTGTTTCACAGTCATCTAGCAGGACGGTAGTACTTCCCTGGGTGGTTGCTGTCTACCAACCTACTACCTATATGTATATAGTATACCTATATGTATATACCTATATGCCTATATGCCCGAAATGCCTAGCCATGCTAAGCGTTCTAGTGGTACACTCTGTAATCACAATTTTACTACATGTAAACCAAACAATAACCGAATTTCTGTAAACTCAGCATTGTAATCCTTATAGAGAATAAACTTTGAATTGAATTGAATAGTAATAATATTGGTAGAATTAGCGACAATGTTAGGTTAAAGGACACATGTGCAACTAATGAAAATTTTTACTGTGGCAACGTTTCGCTCTCCAGGTTTGTCAAGGTGTTGAAGAGCCAAACGTTGCTACAGTAAAATTTTGCATTAGTTGCACTTGTGTCCCTTTAGCTACCAGTATGTGTATAGACAAAAATGCAAGTTAAGAAACTCTTTTATCACGACAACGGTAACAATGTTTAGAGCTTAACAGGGACTTCGTAAAGCTCCACTCAAAGGAAAATAGTGTTCTAACAAAATATTGTAGATAAATGGTTCAAACAACCGAGAAGTTGTTAAATTAGACACATGTGCAACACTTAGGTATCTTTATTGAAGAAACGTTTCGCCACACAGTGGCTTCATCAGTCCAATACAAAGACATACTTGTCGAAATATTTTACCACAGATGTACAATCAGCTTCAAACATCTATTCTATGACGTCTCTTGATAGTCAGCAAATATGATAAGAGTCATTATAGAAATGCACTGAACGTATCATTCGCAACCCGGAAAAGTAACTGGCCACACACACCACATGAAAACTATCCCTAAGTAACTTGAATTGTCAAGGAGAAAGTAATTTTGTTTAGCGCTATTTAAACAGAGACAGAATTCTCTTCACCAACACAACTCCAGCATGGCCCTCAAGGTTTGGAAATACGTGTCTCATCTTCAGTGTGTTCTTTTAGTTACCTGTTCTACCTTATTTAGATTTTTAGTAATGTAGTGTAAAAGCTTCTGGTACCGTCTTCTACAGCCTCCCAGAAAAGCCTTGTCCAGATTTTCAGAACTGTTTTGCTCATAATACCAAAAGTGCTGGCGTGTTCAGACTCCCAGCCAGAAATAATTTCTTGTTCGGACTCCCAATTGCAGACTCTTAGTACTATCATGTTCAGGCTATCAGTATAATACTATTCAGATTTCAAGTATAATCTTGCAATATATATATATATATATATATATATATATATATATATATATATATATATATATATATATATATATATATAAATATATATAATATATATATATATATATATATATATATATATATATATACATATATATATATATATATATATATATATATATATATATATATATATATATATATATATATATATATATATATATGTCGTGCAGAATAGGCAGAACTTGCTATCTTGGCTTAAATAGCAACGTTCATCTTGCCATATAAGACAAGCAAAAATTTGTGTATGCAATAATTTCGCCAAAATCATTCTGAACTTAACGAAAAAAATATACTTCCTTGTGTTTGTTTGGTATTAAATTATTGTAAACAAATCTAAAATATATTTAGTTGGGTTAGGCTAAAATAAATTGTTCTTGTTATAATAAGGTTAGGTAAGTTTTTTAAGATTCTTTTGGAGCAAAATTATTTTTTTTTTACATTAACATTAATGAAAAAAATATATCTTTAAACGTATAAGAGAAAATTTTAGAAAGGACTTAATTTTAAATGAGTTCTTGCTAATTGACCAGTTTTACATATTCGGCACGACATTAAATATATATATATATATATATAATATATTATATATATATATATATATAATATATATAATGTGTGTGTGTGTGTGTGTGTGTGTGTGTGTGTGTGTGTGTGTGTGTGTGTGTGTGTGTGTGTGTGTGTGTGTGTGTGTGATAAATATAAATATATGCTTTCAGGTTTTTGTTATCGCTTGCATTTTGGTAGTGGTCGGGGGTGAGGCTCCTGTGTACCCCGCTCCATCTGCCTACCATGCTCCATCTTCCTATCATCAGCCCCACTACCCAGCGGTGAATACAATATGCCCAATGATTTATAATATTTTCTATACTTTATATTACTGTGTACTAGTGAATAAGGAGTGATGGTAACTATTTTTAGTACATGAAATTATTTTGAAGTTAGTTAAGATCCATGCAATACGTAATAAATAAAGTGTTTTAATATTATTTTCCCTGGATTTATACAGTCTGCAACTGTATGATTTATGTCTCTGCAGGTTCCTCCGAAATACGCCTTCAATTATGGAGTCGTGGACCATTACTCAGGCGCCAACTTCGGTCACTCTGAAGTTCGTGACGGTTATAAGACCGAAGGTAGTTACTCCGTTGACCTTCCTGACGGCCGTAAGCAGACCGTCAACTACGTGGACAAAGGAGACGGTTTAGATGCCGTGGTGAACTACGAGGGCCAAGCCCGTCACCCAGTACACAAGCCTTCTTACCCATCTCATCCAGTACACTACCCACCTCCCCGAACTTACGAGTAAATAATGAATCAGATGTTATGTATCAGCGGGAGAACTCACAGAAATGTGCAACTTTTTAACTGATAATTGGATAACGTTGTGTTTTTAATAAATAGTTACTATATAACTTTTATGTTTAAATAGATACCAACCTTTAGAGAATTTTGACATATTAATTCATATATGTTAAAGAGATTGTGAATAGAGTAGTTATTGAAAAGCTGAAAGATGAAGATGAAGAAGATGAAGATGATGAAGATGATGATGATGAAGATGGTGAAGATGATGATTATGAAGAAGATGAAGAAGTTTTTAATCGTGAGGGTTAGAAACCTAGGATAACCCAATAAAACCATTATATCTGGCATAATGCTATTGGGGTCCTCTGATCCTCTTCTGCAGGATGCGACTCGCAACAATTAGATAAGAACATAAGAAGAAAGAAGGAACACTGCAACAGGCCTACTGACCCATGCGGAGCAGGTCCATGTCCCCACCCCGGATTAGCCCAATGACCCCCCCAGACTGGTCACCTCCACTCAAGGATAAAGCAAGGCACCAGACCCAGCAGCACAAGCTAGTCAGGTCCAACTCACACCCACCCACGCCCACTCATGTATTTATCTAACCTATTTTTAAAACTACACAACGTTTTAGCCTCAATAACTGTACTCGGGAGTTTGTTCCACTCATCCACGACTCTATTACCAAACCAGTGCTTTCCTATGTCCTTCCTGAATCTGATTTTTTTCAACTTGAAACCATTGCTGCGAGTCCTGTCTTGGCCGGAAATTTTCAGCACGCTGTTTACATCCCCTTTATTTATTCCTGTTTTCTATTTATACATCTTGATCATACCCCTCCTAATTCTGCGCCTTTCAAGAGAGTGCAGATTCAGGGCTCTCAGTCTATCCTCATAGGGAAGATTTCTGATACATGGGATCATCTTTGTCATCCTCTGTACGTTTTCCAGAGCATTTATGTCCATTCTGTAATACGGTGAGCAGAACTGAGCAGCATAGTCTAAATGAGGCCTAACCAAGGATATATAGAGTTGAAGAACAACTTGAGGACTTCTATTATTTATACTTCTAGATACGAAGCCAAGAATTCTGTTAGCTTTACTGCGAACACTAATGCACTTGGTTTTAGATTACTGCTAACCAGAACTCCTAAATCCTTTTCGCAATCAGTAGTATTAAGATCTACATTATTTAGTTTATATGTGGCATGGTTATTTAACTGTCCAACATTTAGAACTTTGCATTTGTCAATAATAAACTGCATCTGCCACTTCTCCGACAATTGCATCAGTGTATTCAAATCATCCTGGAGTGCTCTAGTGTCCTCATTAGAATGAAATGAGCGGCCTATTTTGGTGTCACCAGCAAATTTGTTTTTGTCGCTATTTATTCCTTCACATATGTCGTTTATGTAAATTGTGAACAACAACGGGCCCAACACTGACCCCTGAGGAACACCGCTTGTGACGACGTGCCCCAATTCTGATTTCTCCCCATTTATGCAAACTCTCTGCTGCCTATTTGTCAGCCATACCTCTACCCAGGAAAAAATCTCTCCTCCTATTCCGTGTGCCTTAAGTTTCCTCAATAGCCTGTGATATGGAACTCTATCGAAAGCCTTACTGAAGTCCATATACACAATATCATATTCATTACCATGATCTACCTCCTCAAACACCTTAGTGAAAAAAGTTAGTAAATTCCTAAGACGGGAACGCCCATTTGTAAAACCGTGTTGCGATTCATTATTCAATCTGTGCCTATCAAGATGGCTACGAATTGCTTTGGCAATTATTGATTCCATAAATTTTCCCACTATGGAGGTAAGGTTTATTAGTCTATAGTTCGAAGCCAAGGACCTGTCACCTGCCTTGTAAATAGGTATTACATTTACCATTTTCCACTTATCAGGCACTATGCCAGTTTGTAGTGATATGTTAAAAAGATTAGCCAAAGGTATGCTAAGTTCTTCTTTACATTCCTTTAACACCCTTGCAAACAGTTCATCAGGGCCTGGGGATTTGTTAGGTTTTAGTTTCTCTATTTGTCTGAGGACCATGTCACATAGTTTATTATCCTGTTCTACATAATCTATTATTTCAGGAATATCGTTAGTATTTTCCTGGGTGAAAACTGAGAAGAAGTAGGTATTGAGAATTTCACATATCCTTATCACTGTCAGTGATCTGACCAGAGTTACTCTTAAATGGGCCAATCTTGTCCCTAATCTTACTTCTGTATACCTGAAAGAACCCTTTTGGGTTAGTCTTTGAATCCCTTGCGACCTTAGCTTCACAATCCCTTTTTGCTTTTCTTATTCCTTTCTTTATTTCTCTCTTTAATTGAATATATTGATTTCTTAACTGCCCATCTCTTCTTTTGATACGCCTATATATGCCCCTCTTTTGACCAGTGAGATGTTTTAATCTATTGTTCATCCATTTGGAGTCATTTTTGTTAGATCTAATTTCCCTACTCGGAACAAAAGTTGTCTGGGCAGCAAGAACTATGCTCTGAAAAACGTCATATTGGCAACCAAGATCACCTACCTGACACATAGTCAGGACATCCCAATTTAGCCCACCCAGGTAATTTTTCAGTCCCATGAATTCGGCCAAGCGAAAATCTGGAACAGTGATTTGACTGCAGTTATCTGGGTAATTCCACGATATATTGAAACTAAGTGATTTGTGATCACTTTCCCCAAGCTCATCATTAACCTCAAGATTATTAATTAGTGAATCTTTGTTGGCAAGAACCAAGTCAAGTAGATTGTTTCCTTTAGTTGGTTCTGTCACAACCTGTTCTAAAAAGCAATCCTGAACCGTATCAAGAAAGTCACTAGACTCAAGATTTCCTGTCATATTGTTCCAATCAATTTGTATAAAGTTAAAATCTCTCATTATCACAACATTTTCATACCTAAATGCCTTATGAATTTCATCCCATAACAGCTTACTGCACTCCCTATCAAGGATTGGGGGCCTATAAATCACACCCAAGATGAATTTGTCACGTCCCTCGAGAAACTGTAGCCAAACAGATTCTGTGTTCGATGTTTCTAATCTTATATCATGTCTAAGACAACAATTTAAATTTTCTCTGACATACATCGCCACTCCTCCACCCTTTCTGTTGACCCTATCAGTGTGGAATAGTTTATAACCCTGTATGTTGCATTCAGAAGGCATTTCTCTATTTTTCAGGTTGAACCAGATCTCTGTTATACCAATAATATCTATATTACCTGCACTTGCAAGTAATCTTAGCTCATCTATCTTATTTCTTAGACTCCTACTATTTGTATAGTAAACCTTAAGGGAGCTAGTCACTCGTTGCCGTCTTCTATCTTTCTTTGTTTGTTGATCAATTGTTTGCCATTACTAGCAACTTCATTTTAAATATTGTCTTTTAAATATATCCCTGAGGTATCCCGGTAATAACTGCTGTTTTTAACCCTTATGCTGCAGCCTGATTGTTTCCCACAAACATCCATACCTCTACAATCTATCAGTTTAAATTCCTAGACAAGTGATCAATTACCCTCTCAATTGAATTGGCTAATGCAACCACTCCATCCTCAGAGAGATGAACCCCATCCCTTGAATACATATCACGCTTGCCAAAGAATAGGTCCCAGTTATCAATGAATGGGATTGCAAGTTCCTTGCAGTACCTGTCAAGCCAGCAATTTATACCAATTGCCCTAGACATCCATACATTGCCCACTCCCTTTCTAGGCAAGATGCTACAAATGACTGGGATCCCTCCCTTAGACCTAGCTACTTCTATGGCTGATCTGTACTTATCCAGCAGCTCCTCTCTCCTGCCCTTCCCAATGTCATTACCCCCAGCACTAAGACAGATAATGGGCTTGTTCCCATTACTTGCCATAATATTATCCAATCTGCTGACTCTGTCACCAACACCAGCTCCAGGAAGACACACTCTCTGTCTGACCTTTCTGTCTCTGTTACAAAATGCATGGTCCATATATCTTACCTGAGAATCACCTACAATTAAAATATTCTTACCTTGATTAGCAGGGGAATCAGTGGTACCTTCAACCTCACTAACCACTGAAGTACACTCGTCTTGGAGAACAGAGAATCGATTTCCTACCTTCACATCTTCTCTATTAACTCTCCTCATCTTCCTTCTTCCTGAACTGTGAACCACTTGCCACTTAAAGCGGCTGCCACTATCACTGCTGGTGGCCATTTCCTCCTTACCAGCTAAATCCTTCTCACACTCGCTCCCAAACTCATCTATGCGAAGCTTCAGCTTCCCATTTTCCTCCTGAAGAAGTAGAATCTCCTTCTTCAACACATGAACCTGGGATTCTAAAACACTACAACAAGCCATGGTGCTTGGTAACAGCCCACGCTAACTCCCAAGAGCTTAGGCAGGTATGACCGCAGGTGACCACTGACCTCAGCATACTACCCAGATAATGATTTACTGTTAGGTGAAAAGGGTCAACAGATGTAAAGAAACATGTCAAACGTTTTCACTTATGTGGGGATCAAACCCGGGTACTTCCGATATTAGTGGAAGGCGCTGTCAGTTGAACCAAAAAGTTATACTGACGACCAGATGTATAATCACCAAACTGCCTCTAAATTGGTATGGGGTGAGCGATAACAAATATCAACTAATTCTTTGAACTCACGGATGATGATATTTAGAAAAATAAGGCTTTAATTTTGGAGTTGGTGAAGGAATGAAAATAGATTGCATGTTGCTCATGCAATTTATTTTCGTTTAACTTTTCGATGACCGTGCAGAATTATCCGATGAATATTACAAGTATGGTAGCCACACCAAAGCACCAAGAATCAAGATTAATTACTGGCTAACTGATCATCGGACCATTCATCCCTACCTGACCATTTTATCAATTTCTCTTATTTCTTGTACTTAGTTTTTATATTTGTTTAATGCGTAACTTATACATCGCTTTAAGTACTCAATTATTCTTCATATTCATGTTGGCGC